TTGGAGAGGCCGGAAATAGTGGCGATTTCAGGACCGCAAGAATGGACCGCCATTGGAATGATTCTTTTTTAAACCGTGCACTGTTTTCGGCCGGAATTTAATAGTTACTACAAAATATTTTGTAATTACGTTTCCACCAAGAGTGAATGCCATCAGGGCTAAATTTTTAATACTATTGCATTTTGTCAAGAAGCATATAGTGCTGTTATATTGCAGTTTTAGCATTGAAGGTGGATCAACGCAGGTTTCAACGCAGGTTACGAGCAAGCATTTGATCTTTCTTGTTTATAAGCAGTGGCTAAGAAAAGGTTGATCAATCCTGAAGTTCAGTCATCATACCTCAACTTGGCAGCAAGATCCCCCAAGGACAGCAACAGAGGATATATTGTATACATGTCCTGTAAATCAAAACAAACAAGCATTTGGTCTTTCTCGTATATAAGCAGTGGCTAAGAAAAGGTTGATCAATCCTGAAGTTCAGTCATCATACCTCAACTTGGCAGCAAGATCCCCCAAGGACAGAGGATATATTGTAAACCTGTCCTGTTAATCAAAACATTTTTGTGCCTTCAAAGGCTTAAGTTATCTGTGGTGTGTTCGGAGTTAGGCTATACGGCCGTTTTTGTTGTATGTTTATGTGGAGATTGAATATAACTGTGACCCTGTGCTTGTTTGTATACTTACAGTCAAACAGGGAACAGCACATTCACATAACATACTCATAGGCGCGGGAGCCGGGGGGGGGGGGCAGTGGGGGCGGTGCCCCCACAGCTTTGAGACGGAATACCACACTTTTTTTGCAAATGTTTTCTTTTTTTGTTGAAAAAGCCGAGAGGTGAAAAATAAGTGGCCTAAAACCGGTGAGAAAACTAGATTTGGGGGTACCCTAGGTTAATCTCTATTATGGTGTGCCCCCCAGTCGGAAAGTAGTTCCCGGGCCCCTGAACATACTCACCTAGCACCTAACTCATGGCTGTACCCTGCAGGATCTGTACTTGTTCATGTCTCGAGCATTAACAAAGCACTAAAGTAGCTTAGTAATCATTTCCCACATTTTCTGAGCATCTAACATGACATACAGCAGTGCAGAGCAGCTTCAGAGAAGAAACACTTTAAATGCACAGACTCACACCAGCCCAGCCACCCAATGAGCCAGTTCCTCAGTTGACTGTTTCCCTGCAGACACAGCTTGGCAATGTGAGCTAACTTTTGGCAAGTTGAAGGTTAGCAGGTAAGATTGAGTTAGGGTGAGTACCTACCTATAACTGGGTGCTACTGCCATGCAGGTCTTGGGTAGGCTGCAAATAGGTATGTGTGATGATTGAGGTTAGGTCAGCTGTCAGGTTAGTCAGGTTCAGGTATGCTCATTGCTCAGGACACATTTTTATGGACATTTGGCAAATTAAAAAACTAACAATCTGATCTAAGCTAACCCGACTAAACATACACAACTACTGACTATATAGGAACTGAGCACCTACCTACTTGTGCCTACATCTCATACCATGTCAATGTAGAGTTCCTTGGTGGAAGATTACCCTCAGTACTTTTTATCCCAGCCCTGTGAAGAAAACTAATACTTCTAAGCTCTGAGTCACTGCTGGCCATCCACAGGAAGAAAAGCTGAGACTGAGAGCTTTGCCATTGTATATTGGACCAATAATGACTATCACGAATGACTATGAACACATAATATGATCACATCGTTGCATGGATTGTCACATTGACAATTTTACTACAATCCTTTTTTCAAGAAATACAGTGATGATGATCAACATCAAAATCAACATAAAGTGGATTTAGTGACCCAAGCTTTCTCCTCCAGTAGCAATGGAATGATCGCATGTTTCATTTGCCAGACACTGAGTACCTGATGCACATTACAATCTGCATAGCATCTAACAGGGCCTCGGCTAAGGAATTTTGACTGGTGGGCCACTTGGGCAGCGACATGGACTGACCTTCGTAGCCATAACCCCCCCCCCCCCATTTTCGATTTCTCCCCAGATTTCGGCCACTTTATTCTGCAAAAAAAGTCAGGATGGCATTCAAATAATGTGTAAAAAACGGGGCTCGACCCCCCCCCCCGACTCTTCAGAGAGAGAGAGGAGAGAGTAGGGACCCACAACCCTCTCAGTGGTGATACTCCCGCGGTGCACATAAAATCGCACAAGCACGGAATATATAGTCTACGACATATCGTAGTAGGTACATATCGACATATCGACATGCCGTAGACTATATATTCCGTGGCACAAGTATGCACACAATATTGACACAGATTATAAAACTTTGGACGATAACTTACGGCCGTGAGTGGATCGCTCGCCGACTAGTCGGAGATTCGGAAGCGGTCGGATGGGATCGGGCGTTGTTGGGTGGATCGGGAGGAATTATGAACAGCACGAGTGCAACTTTATATATAAAATGGGTTGTAGCAGGAACCCAAAAGGGGGTTGTAGCAGCAACCCCAACATCTCTGAAAATGATCATTAAGCCTATTGGTGTCGCATGGAAAATAATTGACTCAAAAGCCCAAGCGCACTGCGCAACCCTGGTATTTTCTGTAAAAAAAAAAACTAAGTTATGTCCACGTTCACTTCTGGTGAACAGTGTCCCAAACTTCAGATTTCTCTTGGGTGTCTGAGTAGAAAATTCGAGCCACCCAAAATGCGAGAGTGGAAAATTATCCATTCTTATTCTTGAGTGTCATCTTCAGCCCAAATGAGAAAATTTTGGAATGCTGACTGTGGACGGTTCGAAATTCGTCCAACTGGTCAGGTGTGTGACTGCAAGCATCATACCGGTCGTGAAGACGCATAATATCGCTTGCAGACTTCAATCGGCTGGATGTCGCCGACACTACCTCTAGTTTGACTCTGGCTTATATCGTGTCTATCGGCGAGCCGTCTGAGATCGCACGCAGGCTTATCCCCGACCGTCTGAACTGGTCTGTTCTTTATTCGTAGTTTTTCTTGTAACCGACTGGTCTGCGGCAGATGCTTATGTGACTGCAACCACTCGATCGATCGGAAAGCTTGCAAGAACTCTCGCAGACCTCGATCGGCTGGAAGCCGCCGACACTATCTGTAATTGACAGAGGCAGACGTCTTTCGCGATTATTGCATACAATTTAAAGCCTCGGTCACACTTCACCGGATTGGACCAACGGACGAGAAACGGACGAGAACTGTCAGCGTCCGGTGATGTCCGTTTGTTTCCGTTGGACGTCCGTTTGTCATCCGTTAATATCCGTTCCATGTCCGGTGGTGTCCGGTTGAGCACACCGGACACCACCGGACATGGAACGGATATGAACGGATGAGAACACCGTTCCGTGCTTCTATCCTCAGGATACTGAAATCCTTCTCCTCCACGCCGCACCCCCCTCCGGGCTGGACAGGCAACTTTATCTCATGCGGGCTGCTCCCTTGGAGCGGCACCGCTGCTCCCGAGGGAGCGCACCCCGTAGCCGGGTGCAGTGAGTGCCTTGGGGCTGGGTGGCCTGTCCTCTGGACGGGCTCAGCCCCGGCGACTCACTAGGGTGCCTGCCCAGACCAATGTCTCCCCCTATATCCTATCATCCTCCCGGCTCTGAAATGGTCTCATTGGACCGAAAGGGCCTAACCCAACAAAACAAAACAAAAAAAGGACGTCCAACGGAAACGAACGGACGTCCCCCGGACATCACCGGACGCCGTCCGTTTCTCGTCCATTGGTCCAATCTGGTGAAAAGTGACCGAGGCTTAGTCCACTTAGTCCACTATAGTTCACTTTTTACCCCAAGAGGATATTGCAAACAATAGGACTAGGTTGAATTTTTTCACAAGAATATGTTTCACCGATGGCTACTTTACAGCCTGAAAATGTACGATAAGATCTGCTAATTCAATTTGAAACATGTGAAAATGTGGAAACTTAGATTTTTCGGAAAATTACTGGTGGGCCAAATCTTTGAGGCTGGTGGGCCATTTCGGGTCACTGGTGGGCCATTTGGCCCACCAGTTAACATGTTAGCCGAGGCCCTGGCATCTAAGCATAGTAAAACTGCCTAAGTCCATTCATTCTAGATTTTAACTTGATAGTTAGCACTAATTTATCTTGCTGTTGTAAGTTATCATTCAATATTCATACCAATACATCAATATGTGCTCAGTCAACATTTTCTGGCATGATCCTGCTCAGCATGCTCTTCAGTATTGCTCCAAGGTCTGCAATATTATAGCTTGTTTTTGGACAATAAGCTCTTTTAATTTTACTTTTTCTTGCTGATATATGAGCCCGATCAACTTGCGTTTATCAACCAAAATTTCATAACTTGTTCAACTTGATATTGATATTGCTCAGTAGTCAGGACCTCTGTCAGCCTCCTGGATACTTCAGATTGTTTTCAGTCAACATGCTTCTTATATATGATATAAGTCAATCTTAAGGGATTCAAAACATCCAACAAAACGACGTACAAGAGCAAGAAAACCACCAGATCAAGATAAACTAAAAAATGGCCTTGGAACAGAGCCAAGTGGTGCTCCATTTGTTTGTTTACAATGATTGTAGTGCTGATGTATTTTTAGGACTCTGAACGTCGGCTTATAAAAAAATGAAATGTTTTTACAAAAGTTATAAGGCAAGTAATATTTATCTGAAAGAACTAAAATATTCAAAAGCCAAACACTATGAAATACATGAATCGGAACGAAAAAGTAACCCAAAAATCCAGCCTAATCACCGGCTCCTAAAACTGCAACACAATCAGCACTCCCGCAACTCGTTGTCCAGACGTTAATATGCATTTTTGGAAAGGAGGTAAGGTCATGATAACAAAGAAGTACTTGATTTTTACATTAAAGGAAAAGGGCCACCTTTAACATGGGGATTGAAACTGAGATAGCCATCTTGTAGCCCGTGTCCGAAAACCTCTCTGTCTATCTCCTTACGGCCGATTTCGGCCTCCATTCGTAGTTATCGGCAATTTTAAAAGAAAATATGCCAGGAATGCGTTCTTATCCCAGGAATGCGTTCTTATCCGACAATACAGCCACCCGCGGCGAGGCTTTGGTTTTTAACCAATCAGCTTGCAGCAGTACTGATCAGGCACGGATCCCTGTACTAGCGAGCAGACCACGAGCAGTTGCGTTATTTTTCGTTGTCTGTTCTGGCAATCGGCCGGCGGATGAACATCCGCAATCGAATCTTGAAATCCGTCGCGCTGATTGGTGATGAGTTTCATGAGCTACTTTCATGAGGTCTATGAAAGTAAACCTATGCTATGCCCTGAACAGATGACATCTCGTTCGGTAGCCAATTGCTAAAATGCATTTTTATCTTACGCAAGGCAGTATACCATATTTTATACCGTGGCTCTGATCCGAAATCAGGGCATTTTTGTTCGAACAAATACCTATAATAACGATGAAGAAGTGCGTGATCCGCGGAGCAAACGACCTACGTCGGGTCGGGACTGATATGCGTGTGACTGTGCACAAGTAAGTACCTAGGTACCTAGGTAGTTACCTAAATTCTTATTTATTGCAATGGCTCTTCTATTACTTTTGTTTTCACAGAACTCTCCCCTGGATTAGCAAACCCTTTTGAACTGTTCAGGCTTTCACAACTGAAATGCCAGACTGGATAAAAAAACGCAAGTTATGCCGAATATGTCATGCGAAGTGGCGTGATTGCGGCATTGCCACGAAAATTTCATCGCACATCCAGCATAATTTTGCATGCGTCAAATTCAGCGCATGGTGGCAGCTGAATTTTTAGGCGCAGGGTGACCGCATGGCGCATAATGTTTATGCAAATGGCTGTCACCGAATTTTTTGACACGCTGTGGTCAATCTAGCAGCAGACTTGCCCTGCGGGCGCTTGCAGGTCTGAAGAGAGTCGGAACTTCCGGCCTGGGCCTTGTTTCACCTTAAGATTCTACAGTGTGCCACACAAATTGTGGTATTGGGTTTTCATGGGAACATTAACTAATTCAGACGCTCAGAAAGGGAAGAGCGTCTGACTCCGAGGCCCCGGAACGATCTGTCTGGTTGATATAGCCTTGGTCGGTAGATATGCACATGTGCTTTATGTAAAAGTGGCTTAATTTTGGTGCAAACAGGCACCCAACTTTCAGTGGAAATCATGCACTGGAATTTCAGCTCAAAATTGCTTGCTTCAAATTTTTGCGCATGAGGGGCTCACGGGCATCCGGCGTAGTGTATGGATGTTTTCCAGTCTGGCTGAAAGGCAGAACTCAGACACATTTATCCAGCCCTTCAAATCCCATTTCCTGGTTGTGGTAACACCTACCTTTCCATGGGGGTTTGGTTCATCTCTTGTCTACACAGTTTTCTTTCACTTATGTGCTGACAAGAAAAGGAAACTCACCAGAGCCCAGTTTCACCAAGTGCGGTAAACTCAATTTGGGGTAAACTACCAAACTACCCCACTACTTAACTACAAAAACTACCCCAAAATTAAGTTTACCGCACTTGGTGAAACTGGGCTCAGTGGAGCTATTCAGCTTAATACACAGAGTATGTGTTGCATGGACTAAGCATGTGTTGACCCTTTTTTACTTTTAGGTTCCCGCTAAAAAAAGAAGTACAGAGAAAAGTGGATGAGGGTGTGTGGCATGACCAATGAGCCAAGACCACATGACCACTTAAACTTAAAGGGACCCTCCCACCTTCAAAAAAGTTAATGAATTGGCATAAAAGTGATGTAGCGTGAATCACAAAGAGCGAAAATGAACATCTACCAAATTTTACCGGAAAATATTTAACCGTTTTCGAGATATAAGACTTTTATTTTTGTTTACTTTTTGGGAACTCCGCTGTTTCTATGACGTCACATAAAGGTTTTCTTTACGTCGGCATTTGGAAGCAATAATTTGGTATCAAAGTGCGACAAATATTGCGCGAATGATGCGTTTATCTTATCAAGGTCAATATATGATGGCCAACGAAGGATTCCAGGACAATTCTTCTTATGGCATTTTTTCGTATCGCAATTCTTCGTCTGCAAATCTTCGTCAGGGTATTTATTCGTATCGCATTACTTTGTCTCGCATCACTCATCAGTGTATATGAAAATCGGCTCGCATTTCTTCTTCAACGCAAATATATGCAAGAGTAAGCATTGATGGACAAATAAATGCACCGACGAAGATTTGTAGACGAAGAAATGCGGACGAAGAAATGTCATGCGAGGATTCGTTCGGGTACCATGACATTTATGTGATTTCAAAGTCAAGGTTCACACTTGACAGCTGATCTGCTAAATCAAGCCAAGAATCCAAACTATCAAAAAACTATAAATATTTGTTTGTCTGTCACAGAGGTCTCAAGCAATATAAGGTTGACATATGTTGAATCAAAAATCTACTGCCACAACTCACATCTCCTGCCTTAGTTTATCATTGTTGTTTTAACTTGCTTTCAAGAGAAACAGAAGCCAGTATCTGATATCACTTCAGATGATTGTTTCAAGATCTGAGTTCAAATGGAATTAAAAGCAAGATCAAGATGAAACAGGGATTATTGCTGTTAAAGTAGTTTGGCCATGATACAACAGGCACATAAATCATTAGCCAAATCAAATACTGGTTGGTTTGTCAAGATGTTTGTTGTCTGTCGTCTGTCGAGCTGCTATGAACACTGAACGCTCTCACTCTTACTTTAAAGAGAGTAGTTTAAGTTGAATGGTAGTGAGCTGTAATTAGACAAAGCAGCTATTCAGTGCTCACATCAAGCCAGGCTAGGAAATGGCATCAACTGTGGTGGGAGGAAGCAGGTTCGGCAGGCCTATGTTGTAAACTTCTGTTGTGTCTTGTGTTTGATTAACTGATGTTTTCTGCTCTGTTTTGTGCAGTGATAGTAGCAGGTAACTGCATGCTTGTCAAATTATGTGAATAAACGAATTCATAACATTGCATTTTTCTCTCCATGCAAGGAACAAGTAAGATGTTGTAGAAAATGTAATAGAGGGCTGCATTGCTGATTTCATGCACTTTATCAGAGCTTTATTTAGAATTGCTTTCCTGAAAGCTACACACAGGCCACAGCACTGAAATTCACAATGTCATAGCTTTTGGCAGAAAAAAAGACTTGCCTAGGTAAAATTGGCTGAAAGTATGGCAGAGCAGGTCTTGATGCGTATGCCCATCCGTGTGCTTGCCGAAGCCGAACTGACTGCAACACATTAACTCTGACCCACCATGGTGGCTGGCATATCCTGAACTTTCACCACTCTAAACAAGACAACTTTCAGCCCTCAGCATTGTATTAAAACACTGTACATGGCAGTTGACACTCAAAATTTGTTTCAGTGCCATCCACGGACAACATCAGTCGCCATTCACCAGGCCAGTAAAAACAGAATAGATAATAGCTTCAAAGTTCAAACCCATGTAGTCAGAGTTACTAGGTCTGCACCTCAAAACAAAATCCAGGTGACATTCACCACGCCAGTAAAAAAACAGGTAGGTACTTAGGTAACGTAACAGCTTCAAATCTGGTAACATGTTGGTCGGACTTAACACTACCATATGTACATGGAATAATATGATGCCAAACAATAGTGCAACCATTCTGGACAACAAAAGTGTATGATAAAATTAATTTAGAATACTTTGGCAGCATGATTTACGAGCACAGGCAGGTGTTACCTACCAGCCTTCTCAATGCTCGTAAAACCAACATTGTAGTTTTGATTTTACCTTACATGATAACACACTTGGCTGCAATGGCACATTTAATTTAACACTGTGAAAAGACCAGTTATAACCACTTCACAAGCACAATTGCACCTCATGCCGACATCCTTTTCCAAAGACAGTCAGCAGCGTCTTTCGTCAAAACTGGAAGATCAATCCCCTTTCAACTGTTAACATCAAAAATATTTCTTCATGGTGTGATCTCCTATGGAAACCTTGCGGGAAAAGAATTAATGTCAATTGTCAGCTCTTCAAATTTCTTTGGACTTAAACTTGCAGTACCATATCCAGTTTGCTTTGATATTTTGTTTTTCATTCAATGTTGAAGTTGAACACCAAGCTCCAGATATAGCAGGCAGCTTGATCATCTTCGGCCTTGGTATAATATCAGTCCAAGTTCCAGTGGTGGGTATCTTCTAATATTCAAATTAAAATGAAAAGCAATAGGCTTTCTCAGCGCCGACGGCGGATTTCACGTTGATAAAAAAGGGAGCTCAAGGTCAGCAAAACTCGGGTTCAAGGAATGGCGGGCGTTGAAATGACTGCTGACGTCATCAACAAACCGCTAATGGTTAAGAGATAGGGACTAAGCTGGTCCCACCCTGCAAGTAAAGGGAAGAAATTTCTTGAACACCATAAAGCTGCGGGGGTTGCAACCAGGATAAATGGTGGTTTCTGAGCCTGGCCGCAAACTTGGCTATCTCAACTCAAAACTAATGTTAAGGTGGGATGGTCCCTTTAAAGGGACCCTCCCACCTTCAAAAAAGTTAATGAATTGGCATAAAAGTGATGTAGCGTGAATCACAAAGAGCGAAAATGAACATCTACCAAATTTTACCGGAAAATATTTAACCGTTTTCGAGATATAAGACTTTTATTTTTGTTTACTTTTTGGGAACTCCGCTGTTTCTATGACGTCACATAAAGGTTTTCTTTACGTCGGCATTTGGAAGCAATAATTTGGTATCAAAGTGCGACAAATATTGCGCGAATGATGCGTTTATCTTATCAAGGTCAATATATGATGGCCAACGAAGGATTCCAGGACAATTCTTCTTATGGCATTTTTTCGTATCGCAATTCTTCGTCTGCAAATCTTCGTCAGGGTATTTATTCGTATCGCATTACTTTGTCTCGCATCACTCATCAGTGTATATGAAAATCGGCTCGCATTTCTTCTTCAACGCAAATATATGCAAGAGTAAGCATTGATGGACAAATAAATGCACCGACGAAGATTTGTAGACGAAGAAATGCGGACGAAGAAATGTCATGCGAGGATTCGTTCGGGTACCATGACATTTATGTGATTTCAAAGTCAAGGTTCACACTTGACAGCTGATCTGCTAAATCAAGCCAAGAATCCAAACTATCAAAAAACTATAAATATTTGTTTGTCTGTCACAGAGGTCTCAAGCAATATAAGGTTGACATATGTTGAATCAAAAATCTACTGCCACAACTCACATCTCCTGCCTTAGTTTATCATTGTTGTTTTAACTTGCTTTCAAGAGAAACAGAAGCCAGTATCTGATATCACTTCAGATGATTGTTTCAAGATCTGAGTTCAAATGGAATTAAAAGCAAGATCAAGATGAAACAGGGATTATTGCTGTTAAAGTAGTTTGGCCATGATACAACAGGCACATAAATCATTAGCCAAATCAAATACTGGTTGGTTTGTCAAGATGTTTGTTGTCTGTCGTCTGTCGAGCTGCTATGAACACTGAACGCTCTCACTCTTACTTTAAAGAGAGTAGTTTAAGTTGAATGGTAGTGAGCTGTAATTAGACAAAGCAGCTATTCAGTGCTCACATCAAGCCAGGCTAGGAAATGGCATCAACTGTGGTGGGAGGAAGCAGGTTCGGCAGGCCTATGTTGTAAACTTCTGTTGTGTCTTGTGTTTGATTAACTGATGTTTTCTGCTCTGTTTTGTGCAGTGATAGTAGCAGGTAACTGCATGCTTGTCAAATTATGTGAATAAACGAATTCATAACATTGCATTTTTCTCTCCATGCAAGGAACAAGTAAGATGTTGTAGAAAATGTAATAGAGGGCTGCATTGCTGATTTCATGCACTTTATCAGAGCTTTATTTAGAATTGCTTTCCTGAAAGCTACACACAGGCCACAGCACTGAAATTCACAATGTCATAGCTTTTGGCAGAAAAAAAGACTTGCCTAGGTAAAATTGGCTGAAAGTATGGCAGAGCAGGTCTTGATGCGTATGCCCATCCGTGTGCTTGCCGAAGCCGAACTGACTGCAACACATTAACTCTGACCCACCATGGTGGCTGGCATATCCTGAACTTTCACCACTCTAAACAAGACAACTTTCAGCCCTCAGCATTGTATTAAAACACTGTACATGGCAGTTGACACTCAAAATTTGTTTCAGTGCCATCCACGGACAACATCAGTCGCCATTCACCAGGCCAGTAAAAACAGAATAGATAATAGCTTCAAAGTTCAAACCCATGTAGTCAGAGTTACTAGGTCTGCACCTCAAAACAAAATCCAGGTGACATTCACCACGCCAGTAAAAAAACAGGTAGGTACTTAGGTAACGTAACAGCTTCAAATCTGGTAACATGTTGGTCGGACTTAACACTACCATATGTACATGGAATAATATGATGCCAAACAATAGTGCAACCATTCTGGACAACAAAAGTGTATGATAAAATTAATTTAGAATACTTTGGCAGCATGATTTACGAGCACAGGCAGGTGTTACCTACCAGCCTTCTCAATGCTCGTAAAACCAACATTGTAGTTTTGATTTTACCTTACATGATAACACACTTGGCTGCAATGGCACATTTAATTTAACACTGTGAAAAGACCAGTTATAACCACTTCACAAGCACAATTGCACCTCATGCCGACATCCTTTTCCAAAGACAGTCAGCAGCGTCTTTCGTCAAAACTGGAAGATCAATCCCCTTTCAACTGTTAACATCAAAAATATTTCTTCATGGTGTGATCTCCTATGGAAACCTTGCGGGAAAAGAATTAATGTCAATTGTCAGCTCTTCAAATTTCTTTGGACTTAAACTTGCAGTACCATATCCAGTTTGCTTTGATATTTTGTTTTTCATTCAATGTTGAAGTTGAACACCAAGCTCCAGATATAGCAGGCAGCTTGATCATCTTCGGCCTTGGTATAATATCAGTCCAAGTTCCAGTGGTGGGTATCTTCTAATATTCAAATTAAAATGAAAAGCAATAGGCTTTCTCAGCGCCGACGGCGGATTTCACGTTGATAAAAAAGGGAGCTCAAGGTCAGCAAAACTCGGGTTCAAGGAATGGCGGGCGTTGAAATGACTGCTGACGTCATCAACAAACCGCTAATGGTTAAGAGATAGGGACTAAGCTGGTCCCACCCTGCAAGTAAAGGGAAGAAATTTCTTGAACACCATAAAGCTGCGGGGGTTGCAACCAGGATAAATGGTGGTTTCTGAGCCTGGCCGCAAACTTGGCTATCTCAACTCAAAACTAATGTTAAGGTGGGATGGTCCCTTTAACAAGAAGTGCGCACCATGATAAGCACAGTCAAAAACGTTTGCGTCTAAAGAACAGTGCTGTGCCGGATCAGAATGTAAGTTATTTTTTAAAAGTGATGAAAATGCCTGCAAAGTTATCAAAAGACTTTGAATATTGTTTTTGTAACACTTCACTCTAAAGTTATTCCTAGTACCAGACATTACAGCTTTAGTGCAGAGTCTTTATTTGTGATATTTTTAGCCAAAAATTATTACTAGTACCGAGCCCTTACAGCTTTACAGCCCTAGTACCTTGCCCTTATTTTTTATATTTTTTAGCCATTTCAACCTAACCGAATATCTGTATGTTTGTATGTTATTGTTTTGATCTGTATTTTATGCTACCTCCCTATAGGTAAGTTTTATTAAGACATGTGGTAACGGTGTGCTGATTTTTTACAGATTCCGTATACGCCTTGGGTTGCTGTCGCTGCTCGGTCACCCACAGATGAAAGTGATCAAGAAATGGACATCACTCAGGTAAGATTCAAGCGTCCTTTATTTTACACATAATACACTAAGCAGTAGCACCCTAACCGCAACATATGGGAATGCATTGCCTGGTGGGTGCCTACTGCCTACCTGTATGCCAAGTTTCAGCTAAATCGCCCCAGTAATTACAGAGTTATTGAAATGGGAACAAAATCGGCACCTCTTCTTTTTGCATTTTGCACGTGCAGTGGGGGTCACTCACATAGATCAAGAGCATCCGACCTTTGGTTGAAGGGGTGCAGCTACCCTACAAAATTTACCGCAAGACCGCCCAAGCGGCTGCTGAGATGAGCCTCTCAAAATCACTTCTTTTGCAACTTTTGACAAATAACACCCTTGACTTTTCACGTGGCACGTGCCACGACGGTCCCTGTAATGTATCAAGAGTAGTCAATTATGGGGTAGAGGGAATAGGGCTAGCCAACAAAAAAAAAAAGACCGCAGGCCAATCGGTCCAGCGGTTGCTGAGATATAAGCCTCTCAAAAGCGTTACAGGCCGGGCCGGGTCGGGCCGCTCATACTGAGCTTTTTCCGTGATATTGTAAAGACTTCGCTTCGCTCGCTCGCTCGTAATTAGCAATTCATGGTTGACTATATGGATTAAGCTAAGTGATTGCGCTCTATTAGCACACTATCTAAGTAGCCCTTAATTGCTGCCGGTGCGTGGACTGTGAAAGTGAGCCGAGCTGTGACGCAAACCGTGCGCCTTTTTCAGGTGTGGGATCACTCGTGGAAGTTCACGGCGGATACGGAGCCGTGCATGCAGCTCTGGTTCGATCCTGCTCACGGAAGCCCCAATGACGCCGTGGCGCGCATCTGGGCTGAGAGGGTGGTGGCGGCCGGTGCGCGGGCGCTGCCGCGTGGCTGGTGGCCGCGGCCCTGGCGGCAGCGGCCCGCTCCTGACCCGGTCGCCCTGTGCCGAGCACAGAGCGCCGACTGAGGTCAGTCTTGTGATCGAGCTTCCGCGCCGGAGGTGGAACAGGTGGAGCTGGCGGTCACCTGCGCGGGCTCGGCGGCCTGTAAGCCGTGCCGAGACGAACCGCGACACTCTTGCTAGATCTGCACCCCATTGTAATCTTCTGTAGTCGATATTCGGTAGGTACTCAATGCTCATTTTTCTGATATTAGACGAGTGGCGGGTTTTGATGTTACATTGGAGACTGCTGTCTCGGGTGGCCCGACAGTGTTCGATTGTGGTGTAATGTAGATACATAGACGGGATGCCGCGGCTCGGATTCGTAGCTGGACTACCATGTGCCTGTCGATTGAGATGCTTTGCCTGGCGATTGAGATGATTCGGGGCGCGGCCCCACACTGACGCCATGGTGCAATGAGTGACTGGCGACAACTAAGCAATTATGTACTTTTGTAGAACACATGTTTTCATGGATACGAGAGGCAGTCCTTTTTTCGCTAGCAGTCATTTGGTTCACGATACTTTCGATACCGACAAATATGTTCGGGCGGCCGGTCCGTCCACAGCTAATGCGTGCTTGCCCGCCGGTGCCTAACGGAGCGCTGTGCTGTCTACGCTCACTGGTCGCTGGCCCGAGAGCCGTTCGGTTGCTGCTGTTAAAACAGTTCTCACAAAAACACGCTGGCTGGCTGCCAGTTCTTCACCAATGAGAGGCCCAGTAGCATCAGCAGGTAGCATTGTTTAATATTACTATTCCATTTTGTTTACCCATATGTCCGACCTAGAGCCGACTGGTAAAAAGCGGCAACCGAGCAGCCCTCCGCAGCGCTGCAGATCATGTACGCTCGATTATACACAATATATGTGTCTTTCTTGCACACAGAGACATGACGTTTTGTAGAGCTTTTATATCGCTTGTGGCTGAAAGGAATATTGTACATTTTAGAGCTTTCATATACGCGAGAAAATATGGTGCAAAAAAACATTTATGAAGCCTGTTGAATTTTAAAGTTTGTTGGGGCATTTCACAGACTGTGTCGGTGGGCAGGGCAGCCCGGCCCCGGCCGCCGCCGCCGCCGCCGCCTCCTTCACTGGTATGTGGCAGGGACGGAAGCTTCGTATTGATATACCGGGGTGCAACTCAAGCAGCATATCACCTATCAAACAACCTTCGGTTATGAAGTGAATGAAAACTAAATATTATGTATAACTGTGATCTGCGCTGCGGTGTTTCCAAAGTGGAGGAAGTACGGGGAGCTGGACCCGGACTCGATGAGCCCTCTACTACGGATCTGGGTCTTCGCAGCTGATCGTCTGTGAATGAGAGATCATATGATACCAATGCATACCGAACGGATCAAAAACAGTGCCATTATATATTTGCAATTCTACAGCTTTACGTAAGCCCATCCTAGTGAATGCATTAATACGCGTTGATTTGACAACTGACATCCGGTTGAAGGCGTTTTTTTTTCGGCCAACAGCCGGCCAGCAGTTGTTGCAGGCCGGCCTCGTTGGGAAGCAGGTTCATTTTCCGACAGCCACTGCGTGCGGAAGCACTCTCTGATGGCGCGGACGGCGCGCGCCGGCTCCTGTTTCTGTAACGTGTAGAGGCGGGTGTCGAGCAGCTGGGCGCGTAGCGGGCGGTCCTCGAACACGCGGAACGCGGCCGGCTGGCGCGGGTACAGGCGCTCCCTAAACACTAAACAGTAGGCCCGAGTGGTGGCAGAGTCGAGCGTCGCGGCGCGGCAGAGCGCGCGGCGCGGCCGCCGTCTGTTCCAGCTCGGCGTCGGCGCGCCCCTCGGCGAACAGCAGGTGCAGCTGACGGTCGGCCAGGCAGAAGCCGCTGATGCCAGGTGTGCTGACGTCGCCGGGCCGGCGCGGCGCGGCGCCCTCGGCCGCCGCCGGGCTGGGCGGCTCGTTGAGCTGCTGGATGAGCTGCAGCACGCCGCTGCGCTGCAGGCCGCGCTGCGAGACGACGGCCAGCAGGCGGCCGTAGGCGCAGCGCGCCGGCGCCGGCCGCGGCAGCAGGTCCAGCGGCACGGCCAGCGACACGGAGACGGACAGCTGCGCCGCCGACTGCAGCAGCTGCAGCGGCCCGAACGGCGGCGGACACGTGCCGCGCTCAATGTCGGCCGCCGGAGAGGCAGCCGGTCCGGCCGGCACCGCTGTCAGCGGCACCTCCACACTGAGCAGACGCACGCCGCGCGTCAGGGCAGAGACGTCCACCACCACCTGCCGCGCACACAGAGGGCCGACAGTGGTGACAGCGCGCGGCGGGTCAGACCTCACAGTGGGGATAGCGGCAGCGGGTCAGACACCCTTATAGAACAGCACGGGGCGGAGCCGACAAAAGAGGACGAGGAGACGGTCATACAGCCGACTGAGGTCCGGGCACCGACTGACTCAAAGTGCTGAACATGTCACACATTTCTAAATGGCTTCTGTAGGACGGAATAGTGTCTCTTCCTTCCAAGGCTTACTTGCAGAATAATATGGAAAGACACAATTTTACAAGTTGTGTTTTTATGACATAAGTTCTTTATAACATTTCAACACGCAAACATCATACCTTGACAATTGTTCACGATGAAGATCATGCAGGAACATTTCATATTTAGTCACCCTTGATTATTTTGTTGATAGTGATGCGAAAGGCAAATTACCAAAGTATATATTTGCAATTATTTGAGTTAATAATTTCAACTTTTTTTGTGTTGAAAATTGACTTTTGAAACAATAAAGGCAAATGAATTATCAGTGTCTGGAAAGGTGCAATGCTGTAAGCTTCTTATTACATTCTAATTTATATCTAAAGCTTTGTGATATCCAAACTCTCAGAAATAACCAAGGACGTAACCAAGGAGGGGGGAGGGGCACGGGAGCCATGCCCTCGTGCCCCTTCCCCCCTCGGTGATGGCGATTTTTTTTTAAATAAAAACAGCTGTGACACCCCCCCAAAATAGTGGGCCTAATCAGAGAAATTTTCCTTTTTTGGAGGGGTACAACACTAGGCCACAACCTGTGACCCCCCCCCCTGAGCAAAATCCTGGCTACGTGCCTGGAAATAACAAAGCACATCCTATCCTTTGATGTTGGACGCAAGAGCCAAGTTGCTACGCGCCCTAACCCATAACAACAACAACATCCTATCCTTTGATGCCACTTACCAGCAGCTTTGCGCACTACCAAACAGCCACCTTTGGGCCTTTGTTGTTCTTGTTTTGGGCATTGTCAGTGGTAACTGGAAATAATCAGACATGATGGTCAGAGTAGGGAATGTGACTACAACAAAAATCATTTCATTCCTATAAAATAGACATGATTTAATAGAAGACCTTCTTCTTAAGAAAGGGTGTCATGGATACCAGCTAATCTGTATGGTATTTATCTCCAGTATTATCATATAGGTATAACAATTATCACCACCCGCCACCATTGAATGTAGGTTTTAGGTTGTAGGTTGTAGGTGGTAGGTTGGGTATCGGTAAAGCTGGTGTCACCGTCAGCGCTAACCGGTAAATGTGTAGATAAAAGGAATCTTAAAAACAATCTAACCTAACCTAACCTTACCTACTGACCTGCAACCTACCTACCCACAACCTACCAAACTAATATACGCTGACAGTGATGCCAGCTTTACCAATGCCGTACGTTGTAGGTTGTAGGTAAGGCTAGGTCAGGTAAGATTATGTTTCATTATATATTTACTGAGAAGACGGCTGAATGCTCTTGAGACGTGGCTATACATTTACATTTTGTAAGTAATTTTCAGGTTTCAATGAATATTTCCTAGTGGAATGTTTTGAAAACCATTCTAAATGATGACCTTTAGCATTCCATAGTACTTTAAAGCTAATTAACCACATCGCCAATGCTAGGTCACATTGCATGCCTACTTCCACCGGCAGCTCCATGGGATATATGATAGGCAGGGGTAAATGGAATATTTTTTATTAATATTCTTGAAGAAAATTATAGGCATGAAGAGAAGATGATCTGCCTTTGAGATTGATATGTGATGCCTACTTTGGAGGAACATAATCATAATAATTACACAATCATAAAAAATGCAATGTAACCAAACAGCCGCTTATGCCGCAAAATGAGAATCAAGCCAATCACTGAGGACAATCAATTTCAAACCACCAAAACTATATTCTTGCTATTCACCAATAATCCTAAAATAGCGTTCCATGGCCATTATATCCATCTTTCACCCTTACCTTCGACAGATAACTAGCGCCACGGGCAGACACACGGGGCGACAAGTTGTTTACAACCGCTACAGTCCGACGAGTCTATCCTCCTCAAGGCTGATTGGCTTGAGTGTGACGTCATTGCTATGACATCATACAGTAGCTGCGGTAGAGAGTATAAACATAGTACCAATATGTTAAATAGTTTGAAATACTTTTTAGCGAATTATGCACTTCTGGCACCGGTTTTGAAAAGAAAATGGAAAATAATAATGTCAAAATAAAAACCAACGATATCTTCATATTTCAAGAAGGTGGCACTTTTCCTTTAAAAGATATACACTATATATACTAAGATATACACTATACAGAAAGCACGCACTGCTTTCAGCAGGGCACTTCGGCCGGAAGCTTGAAACGGAACAGAGTATAGGAGTTTACAATGGCTCGTCTTCCAGCAAACTTCCAACTACCTATAGTTCGTTTTTTTTTCAAAAGGACGCTGGCTCCAAGTTCATTATCAAAACTCTCACGTGAGTTTTGGCAGCTTCAGCGTCTGGCCAAGAATTTCTTACCGAAAAATATTCGATTTCAAATTGTGCACCCTACTGGGAAATTGTGTCTTGAAAAATTCACATACTATGATGACGTCACTGGTGGCAGTAGGCACCCAAAATCGGCCCCCGGTCAACACGGTCAACAGACATGGTAGCCCAAATCTAGTCGGATATAAAAATTCTTCTATATCCATAGACTTTAATGCTAAATTGACTATATTTGAGAGGGTTTTATGAAGATACATGACCAGACACAGAAAAAAGCGAGATGCTATCTTGTAGATTAAATCGTCTACTATCTGCGACATTTGAAGTGTTTTTTTTTTTTCAATCTGAGGTACGGAAATCGTGTTCCCAAGAGACTGAAAGAAGCCATGCTTTACATTAGACCCAATGGCAAAAATTCGGAATCTGACGAAACTGGTCATTTTTACGTCTAATTTATGAAAATTCTAGACAGGATACATAAAATCCCGAGATGCTATCAGGTGGGAAATTTAATTGTCTATTACCGCTTTTTGATGTGTTTTTCGATCTGAGACCGGCAAATCGTGTTCCCAAGAGAATGAAAGTAACCCTGTTCTACAGCAAGACAATGGCAGAAACCTAATATTTGATGGAAGATATCTTAGGTGATAATAACCTTACTACTAATTGCAATGCTTCATTGGAAAGTTCAACACTGGCACTATCATCAGTCTTTGCATTGCTCTTTCACAGAACAACAAGAAATACCTTTGAATATTGTCTTACTTTTCATCGACGGGCTCGATCCCTATCACCAACAACAGTTTTCCGGGAAGTCAGGATTTGGCAGATATTTAAGCAGAATTGCAGAGCTGTGTCAATACTACGGCACTAAATTTGTTTGTTTGTTTGTTTGTTTTGTTGGGTTAGGCCCTTTCGGTCGACAAGACCATTGCAGAGCCGGAAGGATGATAGGAATTAGGGGGAGACATTGGTCTGGGCAGGCACCCTAGTGAGTCGCCGGGGCTGAGCCCGTCCAGAGGACAGGCCACCCAGCCCCAAAGCACTCACTGCACCCGGCTACGGGGTGCGCTCCCCCAGGAGCAGCGGTGCCGCTCCAAGGGAGCAGCCCGCATGAGATAAAGTTGCCTGTCCAGCCCGGAGGGGG